GAGAGAGAGAGAGAGAGAGGGGGGGTCTGGCGGTTGCGCCTGTTTTGGGCGTTGGGGCTCTGGGGCTTTCCTGGCTCACGCGCTTTCAGGGGCTGCGGGGCTTCCATCCGGAGGGTGTTCCATGCACCTCGCTTCGAATTAGGGTTTAGGGTTTAGGGTTTAGGGTCGGCAGGGGAAGCTTGCACTGGGTAGAGTGCGGAGTTCATCATTATTACGATCATTGGTATTGCTATGATTGTTATAACTATAAATATAAATGTAAATATAAGTGTATGTGTATACATATATATATATATGTATGTATGTATGTATGTATGTATGTATGTATGTATGTATGTATGTGTGTGTATATATATATATGTGTATATATATATATACACACTGTGCTATCTCATCATAATATCATGGGCGGTGGGCTGTCATCTAAGGCTCAGACAGACGCTCACCTTCAGGCTCTTCTCACCTGCCTGCCACACCGGCGCAGAGCTGAATTGGAACCCACGGCTTCTGCACCACCCGACGTTCAGGCTTTCTGAGTAAAGCGCGAAGAACCCAGGCAAGTCCTCTGAGGCTTTGAGGCAACAACTCACAGGGTGACAGAACTAGAAGCTCCACCTTTAGGACTTTAGGGCTGAAGGTTGAGACTGCAAGCTGCTAGCCCAAACCGCAGAGCCGCATGATGATTCTCAGACACTCTTGGAGATTCCCTAAACCCCTAACCACACTGAAAAGCCCTAAACCTGAAACCAAATGATGATTCCCACGCCCTCTTCCAATTCTCTAAATCCTGAGTCCACACCTCAATATCCGAAACCCTAAACACCCATGATGAATCCCAGACCATCGTACCCCAAACCCTGACCCCAACCCCTCCAGCAACAAACCATGAACCCGACACTTCCCAGACCTCTTGTGCTTGCCTATATAAGCCCTGAACCCTGCACTTCAACCCGCAACCCGAAACCTGATCATGACTCCCAGCACTCTCATTACTTGACAAAACCCTGAACCCGACACCTGACAACCTAAACCCATACACCCCAAACACGATGATGCCTCAAGCAAGCAGACGTCAAGCAGCGGGGCCTCACTTCGTGGAGAGGCGGCTGCCGATGTCTGGGGTTACCCTCTTTTTGAAGGTCCCTCAAACCCTAAACCCAAACCCTAAACCCTAAACCCCTATAAACTGTTCCGGTTTCCAGGATTTCTGGAACCTGAGACTCAAACTCCAGGCTGTAGGATTTAAGCTTCAGGGATTAGGGTTGAGGTTTAGTGCTGAGGGCTAGCTTCAATGAGATCTCAGCGTAGTCATGTGCATACAGAAGGCTTCAAGCTATTCTTGCAGTATTCTGCTCATTTCTTCTCAAAGAGCTACATTTTCCCTTTGTTGAAAGCCTTTTTCGAATGGCAGAGTTGGCTTATCGCTCCGCCGACTGTTAGGCTGAAGGCCAGATAAAGTTTGGGGATCTAGGGCTTCGAGAGTAGTAGAGACTCGGGGCTATGGTACAACGCCTCAATACCAAGCGGGAAACAAGGGTGTAGGGTTTAGGGTTTAGGGTTTACGGCATATTAGGTTTAGGACCTACGTTAGGCGCCATCAAAACCCCCGGGGCGTGTGGAAACCCTGACGTGTTCACACCACGACCTCCCGTCATCTCCTGTCTCCCGGCCTCAACGTCTTGGGCATTTCCGAGGCACCGCCCACAGCACCTGGTTGCAGGGTTCTTGCGGGCCAAGGTTCACGGTTTAGGGTTTAGGGAATGATGGCGGAGTTCCTGCTGGGCTCTCATCGTTCCAGAAGCGACTCGGAAAGAAAGCTCTCCTACGGCGGACTTCGCAGAGCATTGCTGACTCAAGCTAAGGCTGCGGCGGCATCACAACATGGAAACAAAAGACCTGATACCACCGGGAATGCCAATATCTTCTAACTACTGCTTGTCGTCCCTTGCAGACACATCTGTGCGAAGAGCAGGCAACGTGGGCCAAATATGGAGTCAGAAGGCGGAGATGGACTTTGCGTTTGAAGTCTTGTGATGAGTTCGAGGCCAGCTGGGACAACGACATCACTTTTCACATACCTTTCACATACCGCTTGGACTAGTGCACCAGCATTCGCTGAGCCAGGAGCACAGTGGCGTCTGAGCAGCCAAAGTAGGAATCTACAAATCTCACAGATCGAGCCAAGGGTTATCACAAACCAAATTGCAGGTGAGTGCTGGCTGCAAGGTCAAGGGTGTAGGCGCCGCACCGCTTTTCGGGTCCGTGCCAGCCACGCGATTTCATGTGTCGGACAAGTGTGTGAATGGCCGTATGCTGCCGGGTGCCAAACAGACTTTGGTAAAGCTCTTGCAAAACAGCCAAAAGCTAATGCCTCGCGCACGCCCATCATTTTGCCAGAGCGCTGGGCAGACGCCGTGAAACAGAACCCAAGTCAAGATCAGATCGCAAGAGATCTAAAGCTCGAAGGCTGGGCGGACTCGTCAGTTGAACTTGTGAGCTGCAACTTCGACCAACCTGGGCCAGCGCGAAAAATCCCATCGGGTCGTCCTTTCAGGGCCTCCTCCCCTTTTTTTGTTGGCGGGCCCGGGTTCGGGGTCGAGTGTTTCAGGGTCTCTAGGGTTTATGGCTCCATGAGGCAGCCTAAGTCCTGAAACCGTAAACCTTGAACCCAAAAACCCTAAAACCCCAGAACCCTAAAAACCCTAAAGCCCTAAAACCCCAAAACCCTAAAACCCCAAAACCTGAACCCTAACACCCTAAAACCCCCAAACCCCACCACTTTCTTGGCCAGGCAGCGCTAGGACGGCCGACACGGCCAAGTAGACCTCAGCCAGAAGGAGCCCTCAAAATGCGTAGAGAAATATGGGACTTTCCGAAAAGAAGGGGGCACCTTATTTTGGGGTCCTTCTAATAAGGATCCTACTATTAAGGGTACTATATTGGGGTCCCCTATTTTCGGAACCCCCCATATGAAGTATACTATGCAGTCATGCAGGTTCTATAGTACTTGGCAAATACAACGACGCAAGACATGCGATCACCATCGCTATGGCTGTCAGAAGCCGAGCCCAAGACCCAGCAAAACTTCCAGAAGGCCGCCTCGCCATCGCGGAACTGCTGCTCAGTCTTCTTCACAGGATCCTGAGCCAGTTCTTCGAGACGGCTCGGTCGGAAGAAGGGCTGCTCTGTCGAGTTTCGCCTCGTCCCGCTTTCGGAATGCGCTCTTTCTACAGAGTCAGACTCGTTCTCTCTTCAGCACTGCTACTTGCATCAGCTGCCGCACCGTTTTGCGGTGCGACTGTCTCAGCCTCCTGCACCAGTCCAATGGAGAAAGATCCTTGGCAAAGAGAGCTGATCGGACGTCACAACCATGAGTTCAGATGGCATACAGCTGCACATGTCCACTCTGTACTCCAACTGCATCCAGGAACGGGTTCGCGCCGCTCCTGATGTGATACTCCTCCTGTGCCATTTGGATGGCCTTCCTGTGACACAATGGTTTTGGATGGATTTGGCATAAAGCAAGCTCTGTGCTAGTCTGCTCTGCATTGGGCAGTTTCCTGCCTGTATTGTGGAACGAGCGATGTGTCCGTAAGCCGGAATCCACCACGAACCTGCAGACAGCTCAGTCCAGTAACAGGAATCTTCATCACGTCAAGTTTGAAATTCCACCTGCAGCCTTCGTTGAATGCCCCGCCCCTACCAGAACCCGGCTAGCACACACTGAGAAGATAGCAACGGTGTTCAATGTTGGAAATAGCGGTAAACATAGCAATCCTGAAAAGTATGACAGGAATACAGTAAACAACAATTGGAATAAGCAAAAACTGTCATCATCGCCAGCATCAGCATCTAATATGCACCATCACCATCACCACCAACCGGGGAAGACAGTCACTAACAGTCATCAGCGTGTTGATCGTCAACATCATCAGCAACATCACCACCATCTTCTTCCAAGAATTGCAACCAGCATGGCTCATGTAAAGGGCAGCATTACATCCACCTTCCCAACTGGAGGGTACCTGAGGTACCTTCTAGATTCGAAGCTCCTGAGCGATCAGTACCCTCGACAAAGCTGGGTCATCACTCCGCCGCCTGATCATCGTTCGGCTCACCACAAGCAAACAGCTTGGGCTCAAAGGGGTCGCAGCAGTTGACACCTCAGCCAGCATATGTCGTGCCACGGTTTGGTCTAGCGCCTGAACTTCACATCGACAAAGCCGCAGACCCACCGCCCAGAACTCGAAGAAGGCAGGGGCCGTGGCGTTGACCCCACCTCTGTGCACCGGAGTGCCTACCCTAAACCCAAACCCGTAACCCTGAACCCTCAATCCTAGAACCCCTTGTCATCTTCTTCAGGGGTCTGAGCACAAGATGAGGAAACCATATTATTTACTATAAATCCCTATTATGGTAACTTAAATTCAATCCCTTAACAAGAACCCAGCTTCAGGGGTCTGAGCACACGCTGCCTGATGTGACGATGGGAGCAACACAGTAGAGATTGCCGTCCTCCAGAGATGGCTCCAGCTGATCAGGGCTTAGGGGTTTAGGGGGTTAGGATTTAGGGGTGCAGGGTGTAGGGGTTTAGGGTTTAGGGTTCAGGGTTTAGGGCTTGGGGCTGAGGGTTTAGGGGTTTAGGTTTTAGGGCTTAGGGGCTTAGGGTGGAGGGGTTCCTTGTAGCCCATGGTCAGGCTCTCGTTGACGTCCGTGCGGGGAGCGAACTCAAGGGCGCCCATGTCTAGAAATTGCCCACCTGCAGCGGCAAGCATGCTGCTTGTTTCCAGCGAGCCCAATACCCCTTGATTAAGGAATATACCATAAATCATAATATTAAGGCCCCTATAACTTGAGGTATATTCTAAATTCAGGGGTATTGGGCTCTCTGGGTTCCCCTTCTACGAATCACTCCAGTAATCTACTGCTTCGCCCAGCGTGCCTGATGCTTTTCTGGTGTCTACGTTGGTGACCATCGCAAGGCTCTCTGCCTCGAAGTACCTTCATACAGATCGGTATTACATCAGATCCGTATACCTCAAGGCCACAGACAAGCTGCGCACGGCTGCATGTAAGCAGACCATGTGTAGAGTCCAACAACCACGCCGGCAAGCCAGGCCTCAACCATTACCAGGACTCCATGGTTCCCACAACATCGAATTAATGATCACCTGCAATGCCCTGCACTGAACGACTTGGGCAGCTGCCACGGAAGAAACGATAGCCAGGAAGAAGAACCTGCCATTGTATTTTTCATTCTTGTCATTATCGAAACATTTCTACTATCAGCATTCTTACGATGATGATGATGATGACGATGATGATGATGATGATGACAACGAGTACTATTGCTATTAATGTATCAGGACTGAATGTTGTTTATTATTCTTCTTCTTGTTGAAAATCATTATGACGATTATGATTACTACGCTGATAAGTGTCACTATGGTTGTTACTATTCTTTATGCTGGTAGTACTACTGCTGCTGCTGCTGCTACTCCTGCTAGTACTTGCTGCTGCTGCTGCTGCTGCTGCTGCTGCTGCTGCTGCTGCTGCTCCTCCTCCTGCTGCTGCTCCTGCTCCTGCCGCTGCTCCAGCTCCTACTACTACTACT